AAAATCCAGGTACTGTACTTTGACTTCAGGTTTACAATTTATTTTTTGTTTTATATTTGTAGTTTTATGTTTTGTAATTCTTTCATTTGTTTTTTACAGAAGAAGCTGACAGCAACGACATCATAATCGATGACGATGAGGATGTTGACTCAAATGGATAATATGACTGGCTCAATAATGAAAATTCGAATGATTATTTTGATGATGATCACGATGATTAAGGACAATCAAATACTTTCACTTACTAACCATAGTTAATTTTTTTTACTAAAATTATTTTTTCAACTGTTATCTTTGGTAAAAAAAATAAAAATAATTTTTTATAAAACACAATTACTCCAAAAAAAAAAATTAATTTACCGAATATATGCAATAAATAAATTTACTTTAACAATTATTCATTATTACCTTAATGTTGAAATTTATCCAAAAGTTTTGGTCCATGGAAAGTGCCTGACACTTGCGATACTACTTGAGAAGAATATTCTATAAAATATATCTAAAAATCAGCCATACAAATTTAAGTTAGGTAACTTTTATTTTTAGTTACCCAGGTGTCATAGAACAAGCTTCACAAGTACGTAGGTATTCAAAGCACATGAGATGCTACTAAGAACTTAAGGTTTCATATTTGAGAAAATAAGTTATGTCTTATCGCTCCAGGATCTTACTCTAACATCAAACATGGACCACTCTTTTTTTCTTCTTTTTTTTTTTGTCAGTCTCGTCAAAACGTTCTCTCTCATAGGTTATTTTTTAATCAGTCGGGATATATGACCTACATGCTGTTAGGAGGAAGGAACGTACCTTCATACATTTGTTATATTTTTAGAATAACAATATAAAAACTATTTGTGTCTTTTTTTTCTACAATTTTCTGTTCATATTTCTCCTAGATTAATTATTAATCTTAGCTGGAAGTTCAACTTAGTTCTAGTGAAAGACAAAATGAAAAAATTCGATAATTAAAGGGTATTAAATTACAGGGTCAATGAAAAGATGATTATTTATTAAATTAATAAATAATAATGTAAAAGGCAACAAAAGTAATAATTATACATTAACGATGCATGGGTGGACCATAACCTGCTGCTCTATTTGAGATAGGAAAAAATATATCAAACAAAAATTGTAGAAGGCAATGAAAGCTATGTTCCAAAAATAACTACCCAATATACAGGGTGTTCGATGAATCTGTCACTCATCAAAGTTGTTTTTTTTTTAAACGAAACACCCTATATATTTTCTCGATTGAAATCTTTTGGAAAAAGGTTTCTCAAAAATATACGGTTGTATGTAATTATACCACGTGCTTGATGGTGGTGGGGTTTTCCTTACCTATAAGTTAAATGGCACCATTAATCATCTTTAAGTCGCCCTGGAGAGCTACGGCAAATAATAATAATAATGGCCGTCCCTTCCCCGGACAAGCTCAGCTTCTTGGGTAAAAATTCACTCGTGAAGGGGTGAATATTATTATTATTATGGTGAGATTTATGTGATAAAATGGGTGCATTCAATACTAAATATTTCAAATTCAATATTTTGGAATAAAAAAGTATGTTCATCAAAATGAGGTACTTTCATTTCTTCATCAAAATTTTACCAAACGGTGCTTTTATCATATAGGGGCAACCATTACTCGGAATTATTTTTTTTCCCAAATCAAATTAAACACCTTGTAGAATGATATACCGGGTGTTCAAATTAAAGTGTTACAGTTAAATACCGCCTTTTATAAAAACGTTTCAGACGATAGTTTTTTGGGGAAAACATTTTGGCTAAAATCGTTTTTTATAGCTAACCATAACATGGCCAACTTTTTTTCGCACAGCAAAATTTTCAAGTAGGTGTTACTTAATAAATACCCAGACAACACCAAATCCCAGAGATATCCACAGCATATCTTTTGTGGATATCCAATATATCCACAGGATATCAGAAATATTCCGTGGATCTAATATGGATATCCAAATGTCCGTCTATATCCAGAATATAGAAGATATCCAATGGATATCCAGCAAAATATCTAATGGGTATCTTCCAGAAAATACAAGAAATCCCAGAGATATCCACAGAATATATTTTGTGGATATTCAATATATCCAATATGGATATCTAACCAAATGTCCGTCTATATCCCAGGATATAGAATATATTCGGATATTCAGCAACATATTTTATCTTTAGTAGAGGTTCATAAGTAACCAATGATTATTGAATAACGTCGAAAGAAAACAAGAGATAAAAAATATTTTCAACACTCAAAATATTTTCAACACTCTGCCTATGATTTTGCCCACTAAGGAGAAAGTCATCCTTATTAGGACTCTTCAGCAATAAAGGGAAATTCTCGACTCCAGTCTCTAATGGAGTTTGATTAGAACAAAAATTTCGATCGAACTCAATTACGGCGGGTCGAGCATGAGTAGATGCGAAAGTAGTATCGCCATCATCTATACTTAGCAAGCAAAATCAAATAACATCTAGTGGATATCCACGATGGTTTGCGTTCGCGCCTAGACTTTGATATATTTAGTGGATGTCCATGGGATATTGAATACACCTTAAAAAAATTAATTTTAAATATCTGAACGGTACTATTAGCCACAATGGCGTAATTTTTTAATAATTTGCTATATAATTACTATTATTTATGGACATTTGCATGTCTATAAATTACATTTCATGGATATAAAATAGATATCTACCATGGACTGGACATTCAGTGGATATTGGGATGTGCAGTAGATATCCAAAGGATTTGGTGTGCTGTCTGGGTAGGAGTCCAATAAAAACAATGTTACCTTTAAAAGTTTCTTATTTTTTTATGAACTTTAAGAATATGTAAAAAAATGGCGTTCCAATTTGAAAATAAAGTCCACTTCGATATGGCCATATTATGGTCAGCTAAAAAAATTAATTTAGCCAAAATGTTTCCCCCAAAAAACTATAAAACTTTTGTCTAAAACTTTTTTTATAAAATGCATATTTTCGGCGGTATTTAACTGTAACACTTTAATCTGAACGTCCAGTATAATGCTTGGCATTTTATATTATACTCTTCATAGTTTAACAGACCCCTTAACCCCATTTTCAATCAATTTTTTATTTCTTCTTTTTTGTTTTCAATTTTTTTAATCAATAAGCTTTATCCGCTTATAGAGCTTGATTTTTGCTAAAAAATATTTTTTTTTTCGAGTTTTTTATATATTTCAACCCCCCCTTAACCCCTCATTTTTATTCAATTTTTTTTTCAGAATCAATAGGATTCATCCCCTTGATTTTTGCTAAAGATATCACTTTTGTATCGTTTTTTGTTTCCGAGTTGGGATTTTATTCAATATTTCAACCCCTCTTAACCCCCCAATTTTTATTTAATTTTTTTTTCAGAATTACTAGGCTTCATCTCTTCATAGAGAATAATTTTTACTAAAAAATTTCTTTTTGATTTGATTTTTTAATTTCACCCCCCTCCCCTCTATTTTTATTCAAATTATTTTCATAATCTCCCCATTTTTATCAGATTTTTCAAAATCAGAGGATTTCTTACCCTTATAAAGCTTGATTTTTACTAAAATTTCATATAGATATCGCTTTTCGTTTTTGATTTATTAATTTTTTAATTTCAACTCCTCTTAACCCCCCATTTATTAATCAATTTTTTTTTTAATCAATAGACTGTCCCCCTTCTAGAGCTCGACTTTTCCTGAAATTTTCAAGTATCATTTTTCCTTTTTGACAAAAAACAGACAAAGTAAACCTATAATACTCTTCACAGACTTTGTGAAGAGTATAATAAGGCCATACCAGAGTAGTACATAGTATGAGCTTGCTGAAAATGTAGGGTTTGCCTACTTGATTTCCATCGGAAATGTATTTAATTCTTTTTTTGATAAATTGATGCCTTTAATATTTTTTAATAAAAATAGCGCTACATGAATAACAAAAAGCTGTATATATGCCACAAAAATGGCTAATGGTGCGCCACCTATAAAATATAATTTTTCATACTCAAAAACCATCAATTACAAATTTTTTCATACCCAAAAATCACCAATTACAATTTTTTTATTATAAATCTCCAAAAACGCTAAGTTATTACAAATATTTTATTAAGGCAAGTTGGTAATATTATGAAATCAAACATGTACTGAACTTCTATGTACATTTACTTAAAGACAACCCTGTATAAACAGAGAAAATGCTATTACAGTTACGAAGGATTTTTTCTGTTATTTAATAAAGAAAACATGGAAACAACATTGTACTTTACCAAATGGCACCTGTGCAAAGATTCGTAAGAGAGGCAACGCCACTAATCTCATAATCTTGTTTCGACGATTAAATTTCTCAACATCCGAAGTAATCGAGAGTCAAGAGACCTTTCACTAATCTGTTAAGGTTTGAATCTTTAATTCTACTTCGCAAAAACATTACTCTCTTATTCTTCTCCTTATCAACAGTATTAACCGCATTCCCTTGAAAATAACCTTTAAAACGGAAAGCGATCAATAAAGTACAGAAAGTTTCGTTATATTTAATTTTTCCGAAAATCTGACCATAATCCTTGGACTTCAGCTCTGAATTTTATCGCGACGAAACATTGTTTTGGTAAAGAATTAAGGAATCGCAAATGCCGATGCTTTTGCAGATCAATAGGATTTTATAATGACAATAATTGCATTAAAACTATAATTTTGTAAACATTTGTAACTTTGATGTTTTTACCGCTTATTTGGAATACCGTGGGTATATTTTTCTATATATTTAAATAAGATTATAATTTCAAAAAAGTACCATTTAAAGTGTTTTATAATAAAAAAAGTCACAAATAATTTAAATATTGCTATTTTATCATAACATTAACCACAAATTTTGGTTATCAAAAATAAAATTACCTATTTTTATAAATAAAAATTCGCAACTGTTCCGCATACCTGTATCAGCATCTAGTTCATATATTTAAAATAAAAATAATAAATAAAAAATATACCTACTTATTTTCGAGTGTTTTTAATGTTTCTGTCATAGATTGTGCTTTAGCCTCTAGCTTTGTTATAAATTCAGTTTTATGCCTTAGAGATGCTTCGCTTTCCTGAAATAAGTCTATAATATTTTATTTCGTAAAAAGATATTAATATCTACACATTGCTGAAGAAAACTATACATTATATCATTTAAAAAAAGACTTATTTTATTATTGACCAAAGTAAATTTTGAAATTCCCGACATATAAAAAAAAATATTATTAGTTTGGTAAATAATAAAACGTTATTTTATAGAGTCTACGGTTAAATATCACAAATTTTAAACGAGAGTTACTTATTTTAACAATAACAGCAAAAATCCGAATATTACAATTTATTAAATAATAAATTGTGATAAATTGTAGATAATACTCTCAAATAAATAAACAAGAATTAAAAAAGCCATTTTGTTCAAATATACTGGTAGTTACACCACTATTTAAAGTCTTAAAAAAAAGACGTAAATAGTTAATTTATTTTAAAATGACTGATTTTATATATACAGGGTGACAATTTTTTAATTTAAATGTATTACTAGCTTGTAAACTGTTAAAAACCGAAATTGGGTTGACCCTTTATAGCACAAAAACAAATTTATTCCCAGGTGATTAAAATTTGTAATATATACTTTTTTTGGTGTTCAAAATTTTGAGCACAAAGCTCGTTTTTGAGTAGAAAATTTTCTTTATTGGCATTTTTTTTAGGTGCATGTTTTTGCCAGTTCATCCGTAACATCATACACAAACTCAATTAATAAAGCTTCCAATTCTTTTTCACGTCTAAAAAAGACACACCTTTAAATTTATATTTGGAAAAAAATGGTGGGTTTAGGGCTGAAATTTTAATACTTTTTTAATTTTTTCTAATCATGTGTAAGACTTGTTTATTATAAATTCACCTATTGCTCTTTTTTAATAAATTTTCAACAGAAAGTGCACAGAATATCTTTGTTACACAAATTTGTGTTTTTTTTTTAACTGCTCGCTAGTTTTACTCTTTTATATCTAAATTCAAAAAATCGAAACAAAACTTTTTAATTATTAAAAATTATTTTTGAAAAATTTAAAAATTATTTACAGCCAGAGAATATGAAATAACTGGCCCCAGATTACATATTTTTTTTTATTAAATTTAGAACGACAGTATTTGTCTAAGTCATTTGTCGAATTTCAAAAAAACAATATAGTTATATATTTTGAAGCCAAATTTGGGGGCATTTCAAAAAACAAAACATAAATACCAATTTTCGAGACATTCAATAAAAACAAATTAATTCTTATTTCTTTATTCCATCATAAAACGTTTATTTTCAAAAATAGACCGTAATGCATTTAATGTTTTTCATTTTATATCAAGTTGTGCATATGATAACGTATTTATTTTTTATTTTCAACGTTTCGTAAATGCAGAACCGCCATCAACTTTTTATTTGGATATGAACGATTATTATTCCGATTGATTATTTTAATGCATGTTCAATGTTGAATAAAATGATCTCGTTAATTATCGGCCGTACACCATTTAATCGTGCGGTGTTGCCAGATCTACTCTGCAAATTTCCCCAGATCTGGTGAAAAATCGAAAAAATGTACTCAAATTGCTCTCTATCTACCGATACGTTTACAGATCGTTAAGTATAATTAAAATCAGTCATTTTTGTGCAGAATTAAAAAATAAAAGATTAATTTATTAGTTATTACTCCTTTTGATCAGGAGAACCCAACTCAAAATCAAGTTTGATAAAAGATTCCGTAGAATCGGAAGGTATAGGTTCTTTTAATTCTTGTTCACTCATTTCAGAATCCGCGGGAGTCTGTTTTTGTTGTTTTTTATCGTCTTTTTTAAATTTAGGAATGGGATGTTTTTTCTCGGACAGAGTCTTTTTGTCCATCGGTTTTTTATCATCTTTCAGAAGATGGTTGTACTTTTCGAGATTGTTGAGAATCTTTCCGATTTGTCCTGCTTTCGCTTGAAGTCGACTTACCATTTCACCTTTCTGAGTCAATTCCATCTCACACTCCTATAATCAGCCAAACTAGCTTTATATTTCACATTTTTAAATAATTTATGAAAACTAAAAAACTTTTCAAACTAAAGAAATTAAAACTACTTTCCAAGCATTGATAAAAAAAATCGTGAAACATTCAGGAAATCAGTAAATCCCTTAGTTTTTTATATCACTTAAAATGTCAAAGTTGACAGGCAGGGAAAATAATCTGGTATATCAAAGCCATATTCATTATTATTTATTATTACATTACTCAACAGGTCAAGACCCAATTACAGAGTACAAGAATATATAAATACAATTAATTTAGAAATACAGTTCATCAAATTTCTAGAGGCTTTCGACGGCTAGACAGAGAAAGCACTACTGACAGGCATCCCGACGGATTTACGCAATGAAAGTACACTCTGCGCATCAAGTATTTCACTATTTCATTCAGACGTAAATGTCAGATGTAAATTTCGCTAAAACATTTCTTTTATTTTCGTTTGTGTTTTTTGCTCATTACAGTTTAATAGAACCTAAGTATGGAGTTTAATAGCAAATTAAGAGGCCGCGTGATTAACAGTCAATCTCGCGAAATAATAGCCAATGTTATAGAGTTTATGAGAAGAGAAGGAAACTTTAATTCACCTTCAATACCATTTAAAAATGTAAATGATCGTGTTGCTGCAGCCACAGGAGTATCTAAAAACACTGTCGTCCGCATTTCTGGAGAGAAAAAAAGAATCGATAACCGTGAGATATCGGAATTTTCATGTACCAAGAAAAACCATTAAAAAACCAAAAACAGTTAATGATATAGATGAAGCTGCACAAGAATCAAATTTTATTTTTTTATTATTAGATAGCTATTTTTGTTTCTGAGTTGTGTTCATTTACAGGCTCAATTTTTTTCCGTTTCTCCTTTTTGATTTTATATGGGGTTTCAAGTTGTTTTTGACTTATTTCGACGTAAATCACAACAACACACTTTTTTAATAAAGCAAACAAGTGTTAAGAGGTATATGTACGTGTAAACTACAATTACAAAAAATTGATATGAAACCCATGAAACCACCAACAAAAATGTAAAGCTAGCTTCCGTACTAGAACATGGTGTCATTCGTCGAGATAATTTATCGTTTTGTTTAATAGATCAAGAAATGTAAATATTCCCCTGTTATTTTTTATAAAATTATAAGAGAAATAAATTTTTTTCTAAATAGTATAGTTTATTATTTTGTAGAAAAACAAAATTTCGAAAATTTTAGTAATGTTTCAGAAACAACCGTTATTAATAATAGGTACCATTTTACCTTAATAAGGTAGAAATAAAATATAAACTATTTCCACGATTTACAAAGGCCTACAAAAAAATTATAGGTATTTTCCGCTATCCTATAAAATTTATATTTTCTGACTCAATTTCAAAAGGTTGAAGGAATTCCAAAACACCTTTTATGGCATAATAATTATTTTCAATTCTACATACTATCTTTAGCTGCTTTTAAAAACGTTCTAAGAAAGTCTAATCAGACCAATTTAATCCCTAAACTATTCCACACTTTTAAAATTTAATTACCTAAAAATATTAAAAACTATTTAAAATAACTTGTTTAGCAGACTGTACAATAGCTATCTTAGTCACACGTAGCGCGTTCTCTGTCTAGGCGTCGAACACCTCTAGAAATTTGATGAACTGTAATATACTAATTGATTGAACAGCAGGTGAGAGAAAGAACTAAAAGAATTATTTTTCTAGCATTTCATGAATATATGCAAAACTAAAGATTTCAGAGAACATTATTATAGAAATAACATCTAATATTATGAATTGAACTATAAAACAAATCAAGCTGGCAACTTACTGTTTCATAATTATTACATAGGAGATTTTAAGAGAACATTTGTTTTGGGTGCATTCAAGTAAAATGTGCGGGTGTTCCTAGAAGCTAGTCAAGGAACAGCAAAATTAAGACTATGAAACAAATATGAAAAATCAACTTTAAAATGAACCCTCTTAAATAGCAATACCAAAGAATAATATTTGCGTCTTGTATCAAGACTCCAAAACTTATATCTAAGTAGCAGATCATGATGAGGTGTACCTTTAGGGGGATAAATTCCATCTTGTTTAAAAGTTTTAATAATCTCCGTTGGACTGTTTCAATTCTATCAATATGTAACTGATAGAATGGGCTCCACACAAATGAGGCATATTCAAGTTTAGATCTGACAAATGTATAATACAACAATTTTAGTCTTTGGTTCCTTAAAATTCCAACTGTTACGAACGATAAATCCATATATTTTGTATGATGCTAATACTATTGATTCTATATGGTTGTTCATTGATAAAGTGGGATCAAATGTAATTCCAAGATCTGTGATGGTAACCGGTCTTTGAAGAATCGTGTTGTTAACCTTATAGTTAAAAGTTAAAGGGAATTGATTCAAGGTATAAGACATTACAAAACATTTAGACGATGGCTTAGAGCACAAATGTTGTATGTCCAAAAATGTCATTTTGAGTAAAATCGATTTGAAAGATGGAGGTGACTATGACGAGCTGTATAATTTTTATTAGTATTACTTTACTGAATGGTAAACCTATTTAAGTAGACGTACTATATTTGGTAACCATAAAGATTTCATCATGAAGGATATAGAATCCTACCTATCCCATTTTCGACAAAAATGGACATACAACATTAGGGTGATTTCTTTTTCGACTATTTTTTGTTTTTTGCTCCCGTCCTAAAATTTTGTTGAAAAGGCCCCAAAAAAAATTCCCTGAAAGTTTGAGACCTTAATATTAATATTAAGTCCTCGACCAAGGCGTGCAAAGATTTTCTATTTAAAATACACGTAAAATTAGTGTTTTTTCTTCAGATTTCTACAGCTTAGCGGCATTTTATGGTATTATTTTGACCATAGACATGTATTTCTCCAAATTGAACGCTCTACAAAAGTGTCCATTGCGGCGATGTCGTAACTCACATCGACGAGGTAGTACGGGTCACTAAATCGAATTTTTTCATGAAATTTACGTTATTTCGACCCTATGTCATAATTAAG